ATAAAACTGCGTCTAGATAAAATGGTCATCCAACAGGGTAGATTGATGGATAATAAAGCTGCTCAATTAAATAAGGATGAAATGTTGAACATGATCAGACATGGTGCAAATCATGTGTTTGCTTCAAAAGATTCTGAAATTACTGATGAGGATATAGATACAATCCTAACAAGAGGAGAAAATAAGGTATTTTATGAATGAGAAAGTGAAGTTTACTAATTTAAGATTGAAAAAGACTTGCTTATAATTCAAGAATGTACATTGATAATATGCAAATTTTAGTTATAAAATTATATTATTTCGACAATTCAATATTATTAAATTAATATCTGTAAATTTTATTTGGTTTATTATTATGGATTTCAATTGGATATGGATTATTGTTTAAAGTTTAGAATTTTTATTTACTTCTCATTGTTGTTTAGACTGAAGAACAAAGGGCCAAATTAGAATCTCTTGGTGAAAGTTCTCTTCGTAACTTTACTATGGACAATGCACCAAGTGTTTACCAGTTTGAGGGAGAAGATTACAGAGAAAAACATAAGGTAATGTAACTGTATGTAGTAGCATAATATATATTTCTTAATTTGATACTAAACGTAAATATGATTTGTAATTTTTATTTGTAAATTTTGATTTATTACATATTCATAAAAGCATTAGCATTCAACTTAATATTGTTTTCGACCTATGCTTTGTAACTAATGTATAATCAAAATCATATTAAACATATTAATTCAAATGTTTCAATATTGAATAAAATGTAATTAAAGAACTCTTCTGCTTGTTAGCCTTATAATTACTTTTTATGAATTACATTTATTTTATCAATTTTTATGACTTAAATAAAAATTAACATAGGTGTCAGTAGTTGGATCATCTTGGATTGAACCACCAAAAAGAGAAAGGAAAGCAAATTACGCTGTCGATGCATACTTCAGAGAAGCTCTTAGAGTTTCTGAGCCTAAGGCTCCTAAGGTAAAATGATTTTCAAATATTCAGAAGTAATTGGTCTTAGTTTAAATCTTCATATTTAAATTGTTTTTTTTTTCTTATTTTGATTTTCAATACCCTCATTTTTAACTTATAGATTATATTGTAATCTGATTGTTAAAACTAGCAATGATAAAAAAAAAAATGATTTTCAGGCGCCCAGACCTCCCAAGCAACCTATAGTTCAAGATTTTCAATTTTTTCCTCCAAGATTGTTTGAACTACTTGATCAGGAAATTTATTACTTCAGGAAAACACTGGGATATAAGGTAGGATAAAGTACTGAATCAGAGTTATAGCTTCAATATAAATAAGACACATTAAACACATCTTATTAAATCTATTTACCTTAATATGGTAATTACATTATTGGAAGTATGTATGGAAGAGTACTAAAAATTTTGGTGTTATCATAAGGCTTGATTTATCATTGAACCACATATGTCATAAAATTCAATTTCTTATATATATATGTGTCCTAACACTTCAAAAAAAATGATTAGGTTCCCAAAAATCCGGAACTTGGTTCCGAGGCATCGAAAGTGCAGAAGGAAGAGCAAAGAAAGATTGATGATGCTGAACCCTTGTCAGAAGAAGAAATTCAAGAAAAAGAATCACTACTATCTCAAGGTATTATATTTTTTATAAAATTATAAAACTAGTCATCTGTGATTTCAAATGTATTTCAATACACATACATTTGATTTGCTCCCATTGCTTAACTATTGTGATATATAATGTGATAGGTTTTACAAATTGGACAAAACGTGACTTCAACCAGTTTATTAAAGCCAATGAAAAATATGGACGAGATGATATTGACAATATAGCTAGGGATGTGGAAGGCAAAACACCAGAGGAGGTAACACTTTTGAAGTATAAGATAATATTTTAAAACAATATTATTATTTTGTAATATTATCTAATGCTAATTGAATAATTTACAATGTATTATTTTTATAGGTAATAGAATATAGCACAGTATTTTGGGAGCGTTGCCATGAATTACAAGATGTTGAAAGAATAATGGCGCAAATTGAGCGAGGTGAAGCCAAGATTCAGAGACGGTCTTCAATAAAAAAGGCATTGGATAGTAAAATGTCTAGATATAGAGCTCCTTTTCATCAACTTAGAATTTCATATGGTACAAATAAGGGCAAGAATTATACAGAGGAAGAAGATAGATTCTTAGTTTGTATGCTTCATAAGCTTGGATTTGATAAAGAATATGTTTATGAAGAACTGAGAGTAGCTGTTAGGTAATAAAGCAGATATTTATTTATACAATTTGTCTAAATTTTGTATTAAGTGGATATGCTAAAAAAGTTGCAAAATTAATATAAAGAAAATTGTACTTTACTTTGCACCTATACATAAAAAATGTACTTTACTCTGCACCTATACATACAAAATGTAAATTTTTTGATAAAATATTGCATAATTTTAAAAATAGAAAAGATAATGTTTTACTTTTTTTTTTTGAAAACATAGGGTTTGAAATTATTTTGGTATGATTTATAAATAACTTGCATATAGTTTTGAATGTTCTGTAGTTTATAGTTGTTATATTTTCAGATGTGCTCCTCAATTCAGATTTGATTGGTTTTTGAAGTCACGTACAGCCCTAGAATTACAGAGAAGATGTAATACACTTATAACTTTAATTGAAAGGGAAAATCAAGAACTTGAAGAAAGAGAACGTCAGGAGAAAAAGAAAAAGATGCCAAAAGGCTCGACCTCAACTCCATCTATTAGTACAAAATCAGCACAGAAACGCAAGACAGAAAACTCATTGACACCAGAAACAAAATCAAAGAAAAAGAAAAAGTAAATATAAAAATTGATAATATTAAATATGAATAAAATAAATACAAATTTAAGATTTGCATAACACAATTAATTTATAATTTCATAATTATGGCTAGTAATGTGTCTAACTTATTGGTATTTTAGTCTTAAGGATTATCACACATATTTTATCTTTACTACAAGCATAAAATAAAAATTGTTGGTAATATTTTATTTAGTATAATGTAATGATAACAAAAACACAATGTTTGATGTTTTCTTATTGTATTCGATGTCCAATTTTAATTAATATTAATTTAATGTCCAAAATAAAAACAAAATGCATTTATTAAATATTATAAATACATGAGTTTACATTATGAGTTTCATTATTGTTTTTTGTTTCTCATGAAACACAAAGTTGGAGTAAATAATATTATAAAATCACAGCCAATTCATTCATTCATGGTATAATACTTTTTGGTGAATCTAGTAATAGTAATTCTTTTTAAAAGTTACATTACTATCGAAGCTTTGGCATGCATGCAATTTCTTTTTTACAAAATTCCATATTTAGAATTAATGTTCTACCGAGATATTCAAGAAACATACTCATGTGTAACCTACGATCCAATGATTTACAAGATGAAAATGTTAGCTATGTAAAATCGCGCATGCAACGTTTGATGTTCTTTTTATTCAATTTTATTTTAATTTTTATAGTAACAATTCGATTTTGAGACACTATGTAAAATAAATTCTGTCAAGTATTTTTAATTTTGGCATAAACCGCTTTATAACCCTCAATTGCTCATAAGTAATATAATATATTGAGAAAACATTCCGTAACCTATAAAAGCATATGCTAAATCAAAACAAATCGAACGTTTAGAAACGTCAAATGGAAGACTGAAACGAATCGTGGCCAACACAGGTATTAAAAGCTATGCAACATCACCGTTAGGGCAGAACTTGCTTCTGCCAAATTTGTTAGATATTATGTTGGTATCCTGTCCTTGAGTAAGTCCGGCAAATTTGAATTTAATACATAAATTATTAAATAATTATGTTTATATAATATATAAATCTTTTTTGAAATTGTTATTTCAAAATAAAAGAAGAAATAGTAATTTTCACTAATAACTATTTTAATTTATTCATATTTTTTATTATAGCATTCCTCCATCTCATTATATACATTTACCGTAAGAGGGTCGTCATGTGTACCCAGTCTGTTTGTAAACTGGGTAATTCTATAAAATATTTGACATTCAGTCAAATATATATTTTTTAGATATATTTATATATGTTATGAATTAATTTTGTATAGAAACGTTATATTATTATTTGTAAAAACTATAGTTTGTAGTTTAAAACTGTGTTTGTGACATAGTGAAAAAGGGGTTATGATTGCGTTTAGACAGAAAAGTTGATGGCCATCCTTATGTCTACTGATACATTGAAATTAATAATATTTGTTAAGTAGTGACAATAATAAAATATTTATGTGAAAGTTGATAAAATGAGTTTTAAAATATTGGATTTTCATAAGTCTTGAGCGATTTATAAGGCAACTAAATGATGTTCCTAAACCGGGATTTAAACACCACTTGTCAGATTCAGTTTTATGATACATTTTTGAAATATAATATGAGCTGTCAATACAAGAACAACTATAACAATTGTTAAACGAAAAAATTAAGAAATAAAAGAATGTTTGTATTGTTTAGATGAAAATATGCCAACAATGAGTGACAGTGATTCTTGTGTTTCCTCAAAAATACATTATTTAAGAATTTATATTTTTATTATCATTTATATAAAAATTGAGTCAAAAAAATGTTTCTTCAAGCACTAGAAGAAATTATTTCTTACTTTATAATTGATTGAGGGCTCTTTGAGCATCTAATGAAAACCATAAATTTGAAACGATGCAAAGCTTGGCGGGTTCATCTCAAGAGGCTGCAGTAAGTGATTGTGAAATCAATATATATGCAACACATTAAAATTATAACTATGTTGTTATTACTTATTTTAGGATCTATATATTGGACAATCATGGGCCCAGACCAACAAAACAGAATCTGCTGAAAGTGAAATTATATTAGATAATAGATTAAATTCTCACAACAAAAATATCGGTGATATACCCTCATGTTCTGCAGATCAAAATATAATAGAGAACTCTGGCCAACAACATTTTGACATATTAAAGGAGTTGATTGCATTACATAGAGAGCTCGGACAGCTAACTTCTGAATATGTATATTTTTTATATTTAATTTATAAACAATAGAAAGTTGATAATTAGATGGGCTATTAAAAACATAGCATGATATTATTTTATTTCATATTCTAATTTACAAAGATATTAAATTTACAATGAAAAAGCAGAGTTAGTTTCTCCTTTACTTGATTTTTTTAGAACATGCATTTTTTACTATATTACAGTAATTTTTTGCTGTTTACATGCATTACAATAGTAACAAGTAATAGATAATTGAAGAACCTAGTATTAAATAATTGAACATTAAGTAATTGATTAATTACAGCCTGATCTTCATCCACAATCATTTATCCTTGAGACTCTTGTGCGAAAACACAGATTAAATACAATGATTTTAAAGCTAAATCCAGGAAATAAAGGATATTGTTTTTTATTCAAAATCCTCAAGAAAAATTTAGATACTACTGATAGTTATATGGTAAAACATTTTAATAATCATTTATTCATTTAATGTATCAAATGTATAATAATTAGTGTTTCACAAATGCAAATAATTAACAGGCCAATGTTAACCAAGAGAGTGAATTATTATTTGAAACCAAGTGCTGGGCTTATGAGGATGATGATCTATTACAATACATTGATGATGGACATTTGCCAACTTGCATTATTGATGTCATTGAAACAAACTATCCAAATTTATTTTACTCAAATTTTATTATAACTGAGATTTGGGATTATCGACAGTCTTATGGAAATTTAGTATGTGATATTAACTATACTCTTTTGAGGCCTTCGATACAGGTATATTCAATTAATATTTGATAATAGATTAGCTATTTGTTCAATATATTTATAAATGCCTTTTATTTATTTTTACTGAAGTTAATATGCTTAAATATATCTGAAGTCATAATTTTCTGTTAAACTTGTTTTGAAATGTCATTGAATAAAGAATGAAAAATGTTTGTATTTAAATGGAGGTGAATGTACAAAATTAAATTGGAGGGGAATATCTGGCACATTAAAAGTTTTTCATATATTTTTTAATGAAAACATTGGGACCCAAATAGATATGAAGTTCTTTTGAAAGTTTCACTTTTATTTCAATGTTTGTAACTTCATAAAAAGTGATTTTCTCAAAATGAAACATTTTTCATAATTCATGTTAACTTATTTGGTTGTTTGCATAATATTTTAAAATATGTTAACATATTTTCAAACATAGTTTAGATCAGGGCTTCTTAAACTTTTTTATATAGCGACCCCCTTCAAGCGTAGGAAATTTTAAACAACTCGCTCCTTCATACAATGAAATATATATTAAAAAAAAAACTTTTATAACATTTTTTTTATTAAAAACATATTATTAACATCAAACAATATTAATGTGTCGGATGTGAATGTTTATTTTTACACAAATAGTTAAATCTAGACTCAATTTGAGTTAGTGCAGATCGTAATAAATTTTCAACGTTTATTTGATATTTTGTTTTTATGTATGTTAATGTGAAAAAGGCTGATTCACATAAATATGTTGATCAAAATGGCAATAATTTGTTCATTGCCATTTCCGATAGTAGAAGCTATTCTGATTTGATTTCTACCCAAAATTCATGCACAGGCACTTTAGAAAATTTGATTTACGAAGTAGTATCGCTTGTTAATTCGGCAAATTCTTGTTGTGCAAATCCATTGTTTTGTATCGATATCATTAGGAAAATACCTATGCATGTAAACTTCTGTATTTATATTTGTATGTAGTGTGTATACTAATTTTAAAATTTTATTTATAATGATTGAAAAGTATCAGATCTTTGTGACCCTTTTCCAGTAATAATGTGACCCACAGTTTAAGAAGCCCTTTAGATACATCTTTAAATTTATCTTCAAATATATAAAAAATATGAAATATTTTTTATTTAATCACAATTTTTTGTTGCATATATTAGAGCATTATAGTGGACGTAGCCTCTCTGACATCGAATGGTGAATGGTCATCAAAGGAAAAACTTGCATTAGAAGCTGAAATAATTAAAGCTTCAGCCCCACCATTATGCCTTGATCCAGACCCAATACATGGAGAATTAGCTATCACTGCCCAACACACTAGTCAAATCTTTAACACAAGAAGTATTAAGAGGAAGGCTAGAAAATTTTCACAGGTACTTTACATATTTTCATTTATGATAACCTTTCATACCAATTAGACTGACGGTATTGATTTATCTAATAAGAAATAATATATATATATATATATATATATATATATATATATATATATTTTAATTGCAATATTTGTTACAACTGCTAAATAATATAACATCTAGCAACATTAATAAACAATAAAATAAATATAAATAAAATAGAGTACAAAATAAAGTATAGTATTCACATTAAAATGATATTTGTTAGATGATGATTTAATATAAAATAAAAGCAAATAATAAAAATAATAAGTAAAATAAATAAAATTTGTGGATAATAAAAATAATACTAGAAAAACAATAAAGTGGAATAAAAACAATAAGTAACCAATAATAATAAATATAACAAAATAACAATAGTAATAATTAGATAATATAATAATAATAAGAAGCCTAATGAAGATAGGAATTAATTTATTAAATTAATTTTTTTCATGTATACAGATTTTTTGTGAAATGCTTGATGACCATTGATATAAATTGATGCTATATTATTTCTTATAATTGACTAATGTTATATGTAAATGACCTGTATTGAGTATGGTTATGTTTGACTGAAAGATTAATTACATATATATAAATGTTATTATTTTTCAGGTTGGCATAAATCGAAAACGAAAATTGATACAATACACTCAATACCATGGGCCAGACTTGTGTGCCTCCATTGCACGCAATCAAAAGTCTAGTCCCTCAAATTGTAAAAAGTATAAACAAACCAATGAGGTATATATTGTCTTTTTATTTGATTCAAAGTTGAACTTGAACGCTTGTATCAAATAAAGTTTTTTTTACAGATTTATATGCCTGCCCCTTCTTTAGATCTTCCTGAATTATCTGTTCCTAGTAATATAGATGTATTTCGTTATGTTAAGGATGAAAATGCATCTTTTATGCAAAATGAAGATTTGTTGAAGCAAATTAATCATGAAGAAAGTCAATTGATAGAGGAATACATATTCAATATTTATAAAAAGGAAGGATTAGTTTGTATAGATAACATAAAACTTTGCATACTTCAAAGGCTGATAAATTTGGAACTGTATGGAGAGTTAACCGTAGAGTATTATCAGAAGGATGGAATTAAAAACTATAGAAGTTGTGAATTTGTTCTAGGTACACATTTTTAAAATACCTGTTGTTAAGTTCTTAACTAATGAAATCAATGTATTTAGGTACAAGAGCACAAGCCAATAGGTTTATGATGAATTTAAAGAAATAGTTACTGATGAAGGAAAGGAATGTGTACAAATTACTCACATTGAGCCAGGAAAAGAGTCAGTTGTAACTTATACTGATGCATTAAAAAGAATTGCCGTACGTATAAAATTTTTTACTAGTCCTTAAATGCAAAACGCATTTTTCATGATTGTTATTTAATAGGATTTTTCTATTACTTAAAAAAAAGATTCATACTTAGATTATAGACATTTTGAATCTATTTTGCATTTATGTGAACAAATTAAATTATGTGAATTTAACAATTCATACATTGTTTAAATAATATAAATCAACCACTTATTTTCAATCCTACTAATTATGCAATAATCATGATTTTTTTTTTTGAATATCCAATATCATATTGGATTTTACATGTTTCTGTGCCAAATACTTAAGTTTTTCAACATTTTTGTGGAACAAAATTTTCATTATTCTTCCTATGTACAAAAAAGATTCATGATTTTGACTGGTTAGTACAAAATCTTGTGATGTGTACACATTTTTAGATGCAAAATACCAAGTTCAATATCCACTGATGATGACATCAAATTGTATGTCGAAATGTATGGAATTAAAGATTATTATCTTTATTTTTTCTTTATTTGATGTATCACCCTTAAAGAACTTAGTCATATACTCATATATATATATATATATATATATATATATATATATATATAAATAACTTACTCATATAACGATCTTCTATTTAAATTGATATTTCTTATGGAATTGTTTCTCCTGGACACAGTATAAGGCTTTAAGTCCTTCAAATCTACAAGTACCTAGACCATCACAACAATTAATGGATAATGCACTTCTAAATCAGACACTGTTGAATTCAAGAAGTAATTTGGATAATTCTTCTGGACTTCCCACCACTTCCCCTGGAGCCAAAGCCAGTTCCAGTTTGATAAGCTCTCTATCAGGCAACTCCAACTTCATAATAAACAATGCAAACTCTAGTGAAATAAATAGTGATATCTCAAATACAATTGTGCAAAGTAACAACTTGGTGAATAATAGTGTTGTTTATAAAAACTATATAGGGTTGGTACCTACTAGTACGATTTCCAGTGATAGACAATATTCTAATATCTCCGGTAACAAACCCATTGCAATGAACGTTAATCAAAATAATATGAATTCAACGGTGCCATTTTTGGTAAGTGTAGAGAATTTACTGCAATGACTTAATTTTTTTTGTTTCATTTTTTGTGGGATGCAATTAGAGGATATCTGCAATCAACATTTTTTAACAATTAGATATTTAGTGCAGGTACAGGTATTCTAATATTTTTTTATATTTTATTTTTGCTTGGTGGAAGATTGAATGAAATGAAATGAAAGTATTTATTTATAGAGTATTATATGGCTCAAAAATGTTTTTAACTTAGTAATTGCTGTTATAGTTATATTACTGAAACACAAAACAAATGTGCCCAATTTACTTTTCAACCGGTAACTAATTTACTTTTTTACTACAGGAAGATAATATAGATAATACTTAATTACTAATTAATACTTTAATAACTATACACGCATGTTATATATCACCAACTATGTAGGCAAAGTACATTAAAAAAGTAGGTGAAATCATTGATGAAATGATAAAGAAGGGTTTGTCATATTTCGTCATGATAACATTTTTTTATTCAATATCTCTGTTACAACTAACTATGAACTTGAACACATTTATGAATATATAATATAGTCAAAATAATATAATTTCATTTGACACCTAGAAGACTAAATCAAACCTAAATCAAACACAATTGATGAGTTTTTAACATTTCCAAGAAAAAATAAAAATAGAAAATCAGTTACAATACAAGTTATATATATATATATATATATATATATATATATATATATATATATATATTAGAGTGGTCCTTAGAAAGGTCATTTTCGAATTTCCTTGCTCCCAGGGGCTCAAATGGTTCCAAATAGATAAAAAACAATTCTCTGAAAGTTTTAGCTCTTAATATTATCGTTTAGATAGAGCGCAATTCAATCAAAGTTTTGTATGGAAATAGCACAGAAAAATTTTCAAAAATTTTAAAAATGTTTTTAAGATGTAATTTAGCGAACAAATGAATAAATAAAACTCATTCATTTGTTGCTAAGTTATACCTAAAACATGTTTTCTATGCTCTTTCCATACAAACTTTGATTGAATTGCGCTCTATCTAAACGTTAATATTAAGAGCTAAAACTTTCAGAGAATTGTTTTTTATCTATTTGGAACCATTTGAGCCCCTGGGAGCAAGGAAATTCGAAAATGACCATTTTAAGGACCACCCTAATATATATATATATATATATATATATATATATTGCTACCAAAAATTGTTAATAATTATTAATTATGTCTTTTATGCTAAAGTTTTGATATTTATGAAAACATTCTTTGTCTGAGTCAACTAAATGTTCAATTTCATTTTTAAGTTCTCTTTCTATAAGACCTTGTTTTATCATTTTACTATTTTTTAATTATTATATAATAACATTATGTTCATTAACACAACTAATACAGACTTAAGCACATATCAGATATACATATGTAACCTCCACAAATATAACTATGTGCCTAGAATATTTTTTTATGATGAGCTATTAACAACCACCACTTTCATCTTCTTAAATATTACAATAACATATTGTAAATATTATTGGCAAGTTCTAACAAGCTTTAACTACTCAAAGTGAGACTAAATTTGCATTTTGGAACTGCATGTCCACCCGGGGCCCCCGTGGGCACTTCAATTAAAATAAATCGAGAGGTGTCTGTATATAGATAATGTTTATCTCAAATAATTATATTCTAAAAGCATATTTAAATAATAATAGGCGCAATCATAAATAAAAAAAAATCGCGGAGGATGATTTTTCGAGCGGTTTTCAAGGTGTTCATCATGTTCATATTTCATGCAAAGTGCACATAAGGCATACATTTTTGCAAGTGTAGAAAAAAAATAATTGGTTTACATCTTCTTTCTAGATTTAAATTTAGTCTATAGTTTTCTTCCAACTTCCGCTATGCACAGGAATGCTAATTCTTACTAAAAATACAAAATTGTTTGTTTAATTGTATTTAGCATGTTAAAATTTCAAAAGGATTTTTTTTTATTCAGAATACTTTATAATTGGCATATAAATTAATAAATTTATATATATATATATATATATATATATATATATATCTTCTATATATATAAAAATAAGTCGGGTTTTCCTTCCTGACGAAATAACTCCAGAACGCACGAATCGATTTTGACAATTTTGCATTCGTTGGAAAGGTCTCGGGTTCCGCAAGGTTTATAGCTAAGAAAATTAGTGGTGCATGGCATCGTGCCCTAATGCAAATTGCTGGAACTTCACGCACCGTAATTGAAAATTCGAGTAATGACATTAGTTAGAATTAATGACATTAATCAGAATTATGCTTGGTTAAGTCAACGAGCAATTCTTGCCGCAAAGAATAATGATGTACACGCACTGAATTTCACCATTCAATCAAAAATTGCTGGCGATTTGGTGACATACCAATGATTCCGACTGGTCTTCCGTTTGACTTCAAACGATTGCAATTTCCAGTTCGCCTTGCGTTCACAATAACAAGTCGCAAGGCCAATCGCTTAGTTTGCGGGATAAATTTCAAATAGATTATTTAGAAAATCATTGTTTTTCACATGGGCAGTTATACGTTGCCTGTTCACAAGTTAGAAAACCATCCGCTTTGTTTGTGTTAACGTCAGACCAAAAAACAAAAAAATGTGGGTTACCAAAGAGCACAAGAGATGGGGCAAAGAAATTCGAAACATCCGCATTAAAGACCATCCTAATCATATATTTTCTTTACATAAACTTGTAAACTTTTAAGATTCTATAGCCGTTTTTAATTCTATTGTATGAGGTGTCTGTATCATAAAATAAGTACATATTTTGGATATCTTAAAATGGAGAAAGAAGATTTTAATAAAATTCATATAGTAATATTAATTTTAACAGTTGTAATTTTGAAATTTTCCTCATGAGCTGTTGGTGGTACCACTTTATCTATTTGTGTCAAAATCCAAGTTTAAACATAATTTTTTATTGCGTCAGGCATTGCGCAATCAGGTTACCATTAGGCCTCCAGCTCAAGAAGCCAGTGGTGCACCAGTTCCTGGGCAGAGTGTTCTGGCCGGCCAACAACATCAGGCAACGCCTCAAACTATACCTCGACGTCCTGGAGATCAGCTAATTGAAAACTCAGGGTTGTGCATAGAGAACTTGCCATGCAACAACGTCTCACTAAAAATATAAATGTGAGTAAATCATAGGCTTGTCAAAACAATAATTCATCAATATATTACAATTTATATTAATGTCTCTTATATTCATTACAGGTAAATTTAAAGGACATTTCATATCTATTGCAGCAGCTAGTAGCCAAAGAAAAAATAGGAACAATGATATTCACTTTACATGGTAGTGGAAAAGGCTTTGTAATATCAGCGTTTCCGAAAAACCACGTGCATAATTATTCAGTAAGCAATTCTTATTAAAAAGTAACTTTTATGAATCATGTTTGGAATTTATTATATTGTGTGTTCACAGAAAAATTTATTTTCATATACGTAACATACGATAACACACATTTTTCTTAATTATAAGCTATATAAAAGCATGTTATGTATTAATTAGGTTTTAAAGTTTAACTAGGTATTTAAATATGTGCTTACATTTATCTAATATTGGTATAATTAGTATAATACCAATTTCTTTATTATAAGGTCTGTGATAGTTTGGAAGGTGCTGAAAGCGTGAGGTGGCCTTACCAAGAATCAGACCTCATAAATATACTTGAAAGGGATGAATTTGCTCCAATTTTAATAAGGCTGGCTGCTCAAAAATTTCCTCATCTTATACAAGACAACTGTTTGATAGCAGAAGTTAGAGATTTCAGAGAAGGAGTTCTCAAGCACAAATTTCATTTATTGAAACCAGATATGGTTAAATTGGTAACTATACCTCGAAGGATATATTTTTCTAACATTGGAAATAGTGTCTATCTATCAAAAAGTATTCTCAAATTTTTGTTATGTTCGTTTATAAATTTATGAATATAGTGCTTATTTTGAGAGGGTAACATAAAGATTAGATAAATAATATGTTATTCACAGGGCCGGTCCTGCCTTGCATGCGATGCATGCAAGAAATGCGGGCGCACGCCTTAGGGGGCGCCAAAACGAGTTTTGGAAATTAAATTTATAATATATCAATAAATTATAATAAACAATCTAACTTAACTAGGGATACGGCAACACAAAAAGCAATTTATTTTGCAATGTGATATCAGTAGAAACAATTAACCGATTAATAACTATGTAAATTAGTAAATAACAGCTCTGTTTATTGCTTAATCTACTTATTCAATATTTTCTTTGTTTGAAGTTACCATGGAATCGAAAAAGAAATTATCTAGTAGAGATTAATTATTGGGCATTATTGACGATCAATTGCGAGCTGATTTAGTTGAAACGGATTTTTTTTAAAAATATAAACAAATCATAATCGCATTTTGCATCTGATGAACTTTGAATGTTGAAGACATGGGCGGTTAGCGTTGTTTTCCCGAATATGTCGGGAAAACGATGAATACAATTTGGGTCTTACGATACCAATAAGGAAAATTTTACGCCGCAATTTTTGATATTGTAAATAACGAAAAATTTAATTTAATTAAAATTTAAAAAATCCAACATGAAATACGAATGTTATAATTGAAAATGAGAAGCTAGTTTTTTAGCTCTCCTGTTATGATTTGCTCAATAGAATAAATCGCATTTCATTTTAATGATAAACTGTTAAAACAGTTAAAATTAATAGGGGGGGGGGCGCTAGAAAAAAAGTTGCATGCGGGCGCTAAGGCGCTAAGGACCGGCCCTGGTTATTCATTCAAAACTTACAATTAGACCCAGCTGAATGATGTAGTAGGGACTTTTGACTTCAAATATTGTATATACCATTATTATAGTTATATTAATCAAATTAATTAAATTAATCAAATAGTTGCAAACTTGAAGGATTCAAGTAAAATTATATATTTTGACAATGCACATTATGGTACTATTGTTGATACTCTATTTAATCGAATTGATGCATTAAGCATTATGCTATTAAGATTTAAATAACTTATAATATATCACTTTATTTTGAACAAGTTTATAACTTTTAGTGTATTAAGTTTTAAATAAATAGCTTTTTTTTACGTCGATATTGAAGGAATATACTTTTCTATTTTTTCTTTCAGCATAATTTTCAGCGGCAAAAAGCAGCGATGCAGCAACAAGTTGCGGCCGCAACAGCTGCTGCGGCTGCAGCCGCAAATGAGATTCGAAAATCACCGTTGACTACTGGTCAGAATGCCACACCAGCCTCCGCAGCCATTAGCGCCATCAAAAACAATGTTAGAAACTGGGCAGAGCAATATCAACAAGAAACAGCCGGTAAATTATATTTAAATTTTATTGCTATTACCTAGTTATTTTTAATATTTTCTATTTTGACGGTATAATTTAATTCATATTATTTATTCATGATAAAATAATATAAATTTTTTTCCCTAAAAGTTATCTTATCTCTTACTTACTATAATAAATCTATATTTATTTGCACTTTGTAAAGTAATGCATAATTTTTGAATAATTATATACTTTCATTATTATATTTTCTTCGAATCATTTTTTGGTGATTTTCAATTCTTTACCATTTTATTACATTACCAAAGCCGTAAAAACATTTGTGCATAGTAAAATTATTATTGTTGGGACATCATATCCACCGTCTTTCATAAAGTATTCAACTAGTTTTATTTTTCTCTGACTTGTAATCTTAAGACAAATTGATGGTACTCCCCGTGCCGTAACGAAATGTTCGAGGAATATTAAATGTATTCAAATAGATTAATATAAATATTATGACACTGTCTAATATTTATAACATTTATATAAACTTTTTTATAAATTTTTCTTCCAAAAGCAATTATTTTGTTAAAACAAGCAGAAAGTTTTTTAAATAATTCAAATCGGACGCTTAGTTCTCTTAAAAACTGTAATTTTTTGCACATTTAGCTCTGTATCTACAGAATGGCTGGTCCTGCCTTTGCCAAAAACTAATCACCTCTTCTCCCAATCATTACAAATTCAATCATTTTCATTCAAATTGGATACTCCGTTCTCTCAAAAATTCGATTTGTATTTTCTGCACTCTTTTCTTTGTATCTCCGTAACGGCTGGATCTGCTTTTGTTAAAAACTAATCAGCACATCTTTCTATCAATAAAAGTGGAATGTTTTTTGAACCATTCAAATCGGTTGATTCGTGCGCTCGAAAACGTGGAAAAAATGCGGATATACAAAACACACACACACACATTTATTTTTCCGAGGTATGCCAAAATGTTCAGAAACCTTTTTTTTTTCAGAAAATTTTCATTTTTGATTTTCGGCCCATTACTATAACTATCCCACGAAAAGTTAAAAATGAGCTAAATACTGATAACAAATTTTTCGTCACAATGATTTAACCGAATAAATTAAATATTTATATGTTAACTTTTTTTATAAAATCAGCTGCTGCAGCGGCGGCGGCGGCGGTTGCTGCAGCCTCTTCTCACAAATCACCTGCAACCGGAAGTAGTTTTGTGAATGCTTCTACCAGCGGAAGTACTTCTAGTGGAAATGATGCTGCCATTATTAGCCTATTAAACAGCGCACCTGCTGCTATGACAAACACACATCATCAACACCTTCAACAACATCAGCAACTTGCGGGAAATGCTACTGGTAAAACCAGAACGGCAGTTTTTCCTCAAAGAAGGGTTTGCGTTTCGCCTGCTGGTAATGTTGTCGTTGCTGATGTAACTGATAGTACATTATCACCGTCGTTCTCTTTGCCAGGTAAGTTTATAAACTACACATTTTTTATAATGTTTAGCTGTCGTACCAAATTTCCATCATGATTACAATGCATTATTTAACCTATATCAAAAGTTGAAAGCATATTTTAAGTTTAAATATATATTCACTTCAATTTCATCACTTTTAAAAAGTAGAATGTTTGAAAATATTTTTTTTATTTCTTTAATATATAAATTATCGCTTTTGATAGAACAGAGTATTTGAAACAAAATAATGCGTTTATATTAATTCATTGAGCATTTTTTGTAACTTGCCTTGATTGTTTTGATATGTTTCAAGCGTATCTAAAATTTGTAATTTCTGTTGCCTCAAGAATTTAAAAATAAATGTTTTAGTTTTAACAAAGAAACGGCACTATTGTTTATTGCGCGTGTTTGAGCTGTAGGTTAAGGGGCACGACTAGTGTGACCGCGTTATAAAAGGTGATTTTTGAGTATTTATATTAAAAAAAATACTTTCAAATCAAAATCAAAATTTTAAGAATATATTTACACATGTTTTAAGAATACATAGTAAAATTTTTGAAGAAAAAAATTAAATATTTTTGCTACTACGTGGATGAAATTAATAAAAAAATCTCATTAAATTAGATAATATTGTCTGTAAAATGAACTACTATAATTAAAATCAAAAATTGACAAAATGGCGGCGTTTAAAAAAAAAAGTCGAAATTTACCCAAAATTTTGGTAATTTTTGGACTGCCAAAACTCGATTTTTGAACCGATCAAAAAATCGATAGTTCATTTTACGGAGAACTATATATAGAACATGTAAAAATTTTTGATAGTGATCGGATCATTTGTTTTTGAGTAATCGCTGCAGCAAATTCGGAATTTGCCGATTCGAGAAAAATGCGTTTAAAGATAAAATGATCGTTATACTATAGTATATAATATACTATATATATATATATACTAGCAAACTCGACGAACTCCGTTTCGCCACAATTTTTTGTTTGTTTTATACTTGAAAAAGGAAAAATGTGATTTTATTATACAACAGTAATGAATTTATTTCGATTACAAAAATGAAGTGTTTTTTAGTTGAACTTCTCTAAGTAAATAAAAGTGAATCCCCAAATTATCCGTTTTATTGAAGTGCTCTTTGGTAAACCACATTTTTTGTTTTTTGGTCTGACGTTAACACAAACAAAGCGGATGGTTTTCCAACTCGTGAACAGGCAACGTATAACTGCCCATGTAAAAAACAATGATTTTCTAAATAATATATTTGAAATTTATCCCGCAAACACTAAGCGATTGGCCTTGCGACTTGTTATTGCGAACGCAGGGCGAACTGGAAATTGCAATCGTTTGAAGTCAAACAGAAGACAAGTCGGAATCATTTGTATGTCACCAAATCGCCAGCAATTTTTGATTGAATGGTAAAAATCAGTGCGTGTACATCATTATTCTTTGCGGCAAGAATTGCTCGTTGACTTAACCAAGCATAATTCTGATAATTGTCACTATTGTAATTACTCGAATTTTTAATTACGGTGCGTGAAGTTCCAGTAGCTTGCATTAAGGCACGATGCCATGCACAACTAATTTTCTTAGCTATAAACCTGGCGAAGCCCGAGACCTTTCCAACGAATGCAAAATTGTCGAAATCGGTTCGTGCGTTCTGGAGTTATTTCGTCAGGAAGGAAAACCCGACTTATTTTTATATATATAGAAGATATATACTCTTTAAATGGCTGCAACTCAAAAATTATTTAAGATATCGATTTAAAATTGTAGTATGTTATTTTTAAAGGTATTGTATCGAAATATGGAAAAATTGAAAATTTGATTTTTTGAAAATTTCACACTAGTTGTGCCCCTTAATAATATTGTGACATATCGGTAAATAATTTTTTATTTTTATTTATAGCTGGCTTTCAAGCTACCGTACTCTCACCTAGCGACACATCACCAGCCGCGCAACAATCACAAACACCTCCTGCATCCACAATACTGGAGCGTATGATTGCTAACGCCTCGCCATCGAAAAAAGTTTCGCCTGGTGCTACTCAATTCAGAACACCGTCAACCATACATGCAGCTAATCTCAATTTGGCGGGCCGTCAGCAATTTGCGCAGCGAATAGGTGTGTCTGGTGCTGCTGGCGCAATACTGCCACAATTAACACAGACAAATGCTGTTGCGGGCACGGCAAGCGCTACTAGTGTTGCCACTCCATTCGCTACTGGACAAACGGTGCTATTAAATACGACGGGGGGTGGAACCACTCAACTGCCGATGTCTTTGGGTAAGCGAAGAGATGCAAAGCTTTTGTTTGCTTACATTTATTTTTAAAGTAAAAGAAACGTCTATAATCAATGTATACCTTCATCTTCATTTGCAGCTCAACTAGTAGCTTCAGGTGTTAAAGGGCTGAATACTCAATCAATGCGAGGTGTTCCTTCAGGTATTGTATCTTTCAACCAAACCTCAGGACCTCCCTTGCAGTTGTTGGAGGCTTTACGGAGACCTTCAGCACCCTTGCAAAGCACTGCAGCTAAGCCCCAACTCACTAGAAACGCAACCGGAAAATGCCAGTTGACGGGAGCGATTATCAAGATGTCTGTTCCAAATACAGGTAATATTGTTTATAAAATAATGCAGGTTTTAAGTTATCTGTGGTATAACATGGTTTTTCTAGAGTCGATTATCAAATTATTTCAACATTAAATATTTCTGTTGAATATTGAACTCTTAGATGAAAATATCTTTAGCAGCAACCTAACCATGAGTATCAATTACCATTAAATCTTTGCGGTCGTTTGTCCACTTTCAGCCACCAAAGCCTTTTTACCGTTCCGCTCGTATGTCTGCTCTCAGCCACTGCAGCAAGTTACGTATAGTGTATGTATGCATTCATACAGCATGCAGTAAATATAAACATAACTTTTATACAGAAACAACACTATATAAGTGTATTATAGTAAAAATATATCTAAAGTAGACAAAACAGTTATTAACTTCCCGTAGGGTAAATTATAGTAATCGCAAAAAAATCGAAAATGAATTTTTTTATATATCTTTACGTTTGAAAGGTTTCTGAACATTGTGGCATACATTAGAAAAAATGGACGGGGGGAGGATCTAGAATGTAATCTTTCTTACACTGATTTTATACTCATCTTTTAAATGAGCGAATTTAAAGAGCCCATTTGTCTTTTCTCTTTTCCATTCTTTGTGTGTATGTTTGTATGTGTGTGTGTGTGCGGATACAAATTTTTGTCCATGATTTCGGGAACACCGATAAACCGATTTAAATAATTAAAAAATTTATTCGGTTCATATCGATAAGGAGACGTGATGATTAGTTTTTGACAAAGGCAGGTCTAGCCGTTCCGAAGATACGGGGCAAAAAGTGCCAAAAACGGTACTTAGTTTTTAAGAGAATGGAGCGTCCGATTTTAATAATTGAAAAAACATTTTACTTGTATTGACAAGATGAAGAACTGAATAAATTTCTGAGAAGTCAGGTCTAGCAGTTTCGGAGATCTAGTAAAAAAAGTAGAAAAAAAAAACCATTTGGCAGTCAAAAATGATCATTACACATATGCATATCAAATTATCAGATATTTTATGGAGATTTTAATAATGTGTATCAATTTTGTTTAAATTTTTATGGGTTCCCTAACATGGTTTGTCCGTTAGACAGCGACGCGGCGCTTACGCGCTTTGTTATTTAGTTTCTATGCAGCTAAATTAATGCGATTGTTCTAAATTTCTAAAATATTTCAAAAGAAAAAAAAACATTTTTTCCAAAAGTTTGTTTTCCAAAAAGGGGCCGTTCAAGTATTACGTAAGCACTATAGGGGGCGGGGGGATTGTTGATTTTCTTATTTTGGGTTGACATGGGGGGCAGGGTAGTCTGGATGATGATAACGTCATAGGTAGTAGTTTTATTTTTTTACATTAATTGCACAATGTTTACGTAAGCATGGTGGTAGGGGGTAAGAGCTTTGCTTACTTTTGCTGACAAGGGGGTTGGGGGGGGGGTAAATAATTGTAATAAATCTGCTTACGTAATACTTGAACGATTCCAAAAGTCAATTTTTTCAAAAATTTAAATTTCTCAAAAATCAAATTGTTTAAAAGTTAATTTTTGATACGGGAGGTTCCAGCAATTTGCCTTAAAGCACGATCCAATATACCACTAGTTAAATTTTGTTTACACATCCTAAACTTGTGTGTTCTGCTCTATGGACAGAAAATAATTTCCAGTCGTGAGGAACTAATGGTAACATTTTTACTTACAGCTAGTGTGTCTCATGCCACCCCAGTAGCAACAATGACATCAGGCGGCACGATTTTAGCGCTCACTCCACAACAATTGGCAGAAGTTCAAGTTACTAAGGATCAGCAACCCAAAGGAACCTTAAATCAATCTTCTTCAATGTTGTTTGATTCTAAGCACAGGCGCAGATCACACACTAACGATAGTAGTTAATGATAGCAGGTATCTGTAGTAAAATCTAAATCTGTATGAAATGCTTTGTTAAGACTGTCCTTAATGTTTATAAGTTCTCTATAATTATAATAAATCATAACAACGGCAAACCACTAACTCTTAAAACGTCAATAATATTCAATTGAGCATTATTATCTGTTAAGCAATACATTTGAGATGAAATCAGATTATAAGCCATTATCGTATGCTGTTTTTAATTTCTTTTTTTTATATATAAAATCTTGTCGAATTATTTCTACCATTACAACTATTTGGCTGTTTTATATTGGCATTGTGATACATAATAGGATTCTTTCATAGAATAATTTATTAATTTTATTGCCTATAATTGAGCATAAATTAATATAGAAGATATGAATTATAACATTAATAGCAGTTTTAATATATGTGCATATGAGCATCTAAGCCTAAAATGAAATTTAACTATTAAACGTTAAACATTTTGTGATCTATAATATTTAAAATGTTTGATCATATAGAAATGATATATACATATAACCAATATATTATAAAAATTAAGTCATACAAATAATACTTTAAACTTTTTATTTTACTTCTTACTAGTGTCATCTTTATAATTACTTTCAGTTTTTAATTTCTTTGAATATTTATAATTATTGGTCTAATTGATCAAGTTATTATAAAATATTATTCTATTTTAAAAGTCTATTTTAGTGCTCTTTGCATATATAGAATACTACAAATTCATGGCTAAAGCCATGCTAGCCAGTTCACTGGCTAAATTTAAATATTTTAGAAGGATATTCAAAAGTATGATTTTTTTTCTTTTCTTGTACAGATATAAAATATTAATTAGAAATCTTTCACCTTACTCTTTAATGTACAAAATTCTACATATAGAAACGTTTAATAATTTTGGTCTTGGTTCATTTAACTACGAACATCTAAGCTTTAAAAACAATCATCATATAAAACGTTTTGAAATGCATTTAAGTACAGATAATGATAACAATATACCGTTGATTCTTATTTTTTAATTCTTTTATAAAGTTAAATTCAAAATTTTGGTTGTATGTTCTATAGTACAACTTTCCACTGCTGATATTCAGTGTATATTAAAAGGTTGCTGCCACAGAAAAATTCACAAGTTCTTTGTATAAGTAACAGTGCCAAAAAAAATAGTATGTGTTTGTAAATATGATGTGCATTCATATTCGTTCTGGTACAGATATGTATAAGAAACTCTAAATTGGCCTCACAGTAAATACCAAAGAATGAAAGTGTTTTTCTGATTTATATTTTCAAATAGTATGAGCCTATTCATAAAAATACAAAGCAGAAGTTCTTTTATAAAATTTATCAAAACAGGGATGCAGAATAATTTTTATTGGAATTCTTTTCTTTATGTCTTTTCTACAAAGTATGTCAATAATATTTATTTATGGGAATAGCCTGAGAAATCTATTTTAAATTTTGTGCCAATGTTAATTACTTTTGATGATTATTTTGAGAACACTGGTTGATACTTTGCATATTTTCTAAAATCTAGTTTTGCGTGAAACTTATAAAGTCTCAAGAAAATACAAATAACAAAATTAATTTAATAATAATAATTTAATAGTAATTTGTTTCATATTAATATTTTTTGAATTCAAAATTCTTTTTACTCTCTTAAAAATAAAAAAAATGGTAAATTGACCAGAATGTAACATATTTTAAAAACAATTAATATATCATTAATAATTGATTCCAAATTAATATCACCAATAATATTGTACATGAATACAATTTTTTATGGTCAATTTTCATCGGCATTAATCATTTGTAATATATTTTGACAAAGTAGGATTTTTACTTGTTTTTGTGATACTCGTAGATTTAATTAATAGCTTTACTTTACTGTAATTTTTTGTAAATTTTAATATTTTTTCACATATGTAATAAGGTTATTTTTTACATAGATTTAGTCACATATTAGTATTTAATTTAACCAAACTATAATCACAAATAGATTGTTTAATCTGGCATAATATTATATTTATTATATATTATCACAAATTCAATTGGTATTGAATGATGGCATTGTAATTTGTAATTAAGTTTTATTAGCTGCTAAATGAGTAAATAATTAATTTTTTTTTTGATAATTACTTAATGACTTGAACGAGACATGTTTTGCGAATTCTTAGATTTGTAGTGACAGCCTTAAACACATCATTGATAGTAATGGTGCCTATAAGATCATATTTGAATGAAATGCAAGTTTTATTAAAAAGCATCCATATCAGAAAACAAGAAATGTATTTGAAAACAAAATCTAATTGAAATGCCATATTCTATGAAAAAATGTTTTGAAATACTTTTTTTTCTTAAAAGCTACAATATTATGCTCACTTTTTATAAATGAAGATAAGTGAAATAATGTTTATAGGGCATTGCACAGTATTATATATATATATATATATATATATATATATATATATATATATATATATGTATGTATATATATATATATATATATATATGTATGTATGTATGTATATGTATGTATATATGTATATATATATATATATATATATATATAAATATTTTCTGCCCTATTCCTAAAATTCTTAAGTTAGCAATTATAAGTTTTGCCTTAGGTTCATATACAAGTCTTAAAGAATAACAAAAATAATTGAGATTTCGCTACCACTAAGTTGGAGAACACATGATTAAAATTTCATCTTTCTATGAAAATTCATACAATTGAAAATTTAATTCACTAGTAAAAGCAATTTTTAATTAACTGCAGCAATATTATTCATAATACTTTTGAATCAGAAACAAAATGTTCAACTTTGTTATGAAATATAGTATAAGTATCTTTAGATCTTTTCTGTGATCTATAATGATGAAGCTACTTAATGTAAATAACGTATTTAATTAATTTATATTTTCTTTTTGTTTTCTTACCATATGTACATACACATGTATGCATATGTGTGTATATAGGCGTTTGTTATATCATACATATAATAAATACATACACACACTCACACACACACACACACAAACACAAACCTACGTATTATATATATATATATATATATATATATATATAGAATTTGTAAATATTTTGTAGAGCTTCGAATAAAGAATCCACAATTAAAAAAAACAAAAGTTTTTTAAAAGACCATTTCTTTATTTGCACTTTGCTTGGAATCTTTGTTCAAAGCTTTACATATATATATATATATATATATATATATATATATATATATATATATATATATATATATGTAAATATATATATATAATTTACACACAAATATGTGTATGTATGCAAACACTATCAAGCAGACTATATATATTTATATATATATATATATATATATATATATAAATATATATATTTATATATATAATAATTATGCCAATATTTAAAGATATAGAAGTATTAATTTTTGTAAGTTATATATTTATAAGGTTGTAGATATAATTGTAAAAAATAATTAAGTGTGGACACATGTAATATACAACAAATATAAATTATTGTTATACATAATTCTCAACAAATATTAAAATGATGTTTTGTAAGTGGTATTTTTTAAATGTTTATCCTTTAAATTATTTTTTATTAGCTTTATGTTTAATCAACAAATATAAATACATTAGAGTAAATTAACAGATTGCAAAGCCTTTTCAGATGCTTTGTTAATAAAGACTGCCCGTTTTTTAGATTCCGATGTACATATTGATACAAGTTCTTGATTTATAGGAGTGCCACCTGGCTTGTGCATTAAAGATATCATTTCTCCTGTAGTCACAATGGTCAACATAGCTGTACTCAATGATTCTTCTTCTTCAGTGGGATCTGCCAATAACCATTTACTGTAAAGAATATTAAATCTTTAATATTGTAATATTCCTCTCATTTTTTTCCAATATCTCTTAGTGCCATAATATCTGGGCAAGATTAACAAGAAATATATTTGCATGTAATGCATACTCATCAAATACTGAAAATGTGTGAGCAGCAGGCATTATTCCGAGTGACAATGGTTTCTTCTTATCTTCATATACAACAGTGGATTCAGTATCAACATCATATTCTACAGTTGGCAACTGAACTAAAATATATAAACAAACTAAAATAATTTTTGAGCTGCATGACATTAAATTATTCATTAATTATTGCTTTTGGCTAACCTGTTCTTAAAGCAGCACTAAGTGCAGCAACACAAACATCTATCAAACATCCATCATAATTCAGACATATCATATCACAATATAGTACCCAAGCAAGTTTATCATAGGCTATACAAAGTTGTTCAAGATTTACATATTCAGAATTTTCTAATATATTACATACAATTTGACTAGCCACTTGCGCTTCATCACAAGGGGGACCAGGTCGAAACTTGGAGGAACATAATGCAGGCAAAGTAATGTTTGGAACTAAAAAACCTTTATTTGCACCTTCAGCTTTTGGGGTGCATAATTCCTGATAAATTTTGAATTATGTTTTACATTTATATATATATATATATATATATATAATTATTTGCTTATAGTCATATTTCATGCTTTCTTTCAAGATTGTCATCTTTCTATATTGCAGCAAAAATCAGATTTTGTGAAATTTTGAGTGAATTTATAACTCACAATACATAATAGCATTACGTAGCCAGCTTTAAGAAATATTGACAAAACTGAATCAAACCAAACTGAATAAACAAAACCTAAATTATGCATTTTAAGAAATAATTGAATTATATGCTGTGCTAGTTATTAGTTTAGCAAGATAATAATATTATTTCAACACTAACAGCTTTTATTCCGCATACAACAGTAGTTCCTCCAAACTTTGCAATTGCTGAACCATCAGCTGTTTGAATCGAGTTGACATTTATAACAACAGGTCTATATTTTAACAATTCTCTTCCATCGGGTCTTATATTATGCACTAAATAATCTTTATAATACTTTAAAGGCTGCAGTTTCCTATTAAAAAAAATTGCAAATATAAATCATTTAAAAATATATTATAAAAATCGAGTTAATTTACTTATATTGTTCTGCCATTTCAGTAGTATTGGAATTGGTAAGGTACCTATATTAAAATACAAGGAATTTTTTAAATAAATTACATCAGAAGTATAAAATTTTTGTATATAACCAAAGTGACTTGTTAACCTAAACACCGGTTTAAAATTCAAAAGCATGAGGAAAGCATCAAGAAATCATCTGTCAAAATTGCAGGTTTGCAGGTTTCATCAGACCAAATTCATTTTTCAGCAGTTGTCAGGTACAAATAATAGAATTGCTAGGGTTACACTTCAACGGAGACTCCTGTCAGCAAAAGAGCTTTTGTGCAAATATTATTAGCACATATATTAGTTTATTATAGAGTTTAAAATATTACTATTTAAATTATTCCAGGATTTTTTAACATTGCCGAAATTTGTGCTTAATATTTTAAGTCGCCCATACCTAAATACTTAAATATTTTTATAGAATACTTTTTAGAATAAATTATTTTAGAATACAAAGTGAGTCAAATAAATTAAATTAAATTAGTGAATTTAGCTACATATATTTATACACATAAATGTTTGTTTGAGAAATATCAATTTGAAATTGCAACTATCAATCCATAGATAAAAGAAGAGTATCAATCCTTAGTGAAAAGCCCAAAACTTGTTATCAAAATAAAAGATTAAAAATAATGACTTTCATAATTTGTCATGATTTTAAGATTTATATCTCGACTATAATGAATAATCGACTTAAAAGTTTATACAACTTGTCTTAAGGCAAACTGCTACTCATTAGTAACATTAACAATTTTTATTTAATATTTCTTTATGAAATCTTTTGTTTATTCAGTTTGATTTGATTCGATTTTGTCAATATTTCTTAAAGCTGGCTACGTAATGCTATTATGTATTGTCAGTTATAGACTATTTTCTAAAAGAATATAGTTTATATTTAACAAAGATATACGTGTATATAACAATATTTTTCGTTAAATCAAAATTAAGCACTAAATATTCTTGATATAATAATTCTAGCCTTTAGCCCTTTTAGCTAAAGATACATAACTTATTAACACTATTTGAATTTTGTAAATTGTCTTTAGTAATGTTTTAAGAGATAAATCATAATAGCAGATTATTGCATTTTTGATTTTACTCATTTTAACTAATATATTTATATATTGTCGGTTAACAGTATATGTTTATTATATTTTTTTTTTGAATACGTTTATTTTCAACAATATTCGCACTTAATAATTAATTTCTATTGTAATATTGTATTTCTATTCTATATATTGTATATATATATATATATATATATATATATATATATACATATATATTCATTAAGTAACAAGAAATCACAAATAATTAAGTAAATTAAGAAATATATGATTATAAAATCAAGTAGATGAAAAATTTCATTTTTAGCAACCACATAGTCTTTTCACTAGACAAATCTTTAATATTTGTTACGATAGTTACATTCGTAGTCATTTATCACAATAAAAATCGCTAAAAACAGATGTCTTTTATACAATGGAATATAAAAGGTATCTGATATATTTTTATGAATGAATAAATGCTTTCCATAGATAAACATAAAATTATCAAAAATACTTTATTTATTAATCATAAGTGATATGAAAGTTGATAGTTCCAATATTTATTTTCCTTCCTCTAAATAATATAACTGAAATTATTTACATCAAATTTATTTTACGTCAACAAATGTTAACTTGTTAGAATAAATTCTCTTCAAAGCTATTGTCTGAATTTTATATATTATTTGCTATATAATATACAATTACAATAGATTAAAATAATGTTGTAAATAAAGAATTAAAATAGGGGTTGTTTTCCATTATGTTATGTTGATATTTTTTATCTATTTTTGCGTTTTATAAAATATATTTTTACAAAAAGATACAAATTTGAGAATATCTGAAATTGAGAAGTAACGCCACATATTAAACAACTCTGAATCCTAAATTAGAAATTCATATTAACTTATCTGTAAGCACAATCTAGAAATTTGCCTTAAAACAATGCCATGTTACCTATAATTTTGCAATCACAGTCTTTATTTAAAATTGTATCATCATAATGCTACGTTAAATATCTGAATTGTAAATAGTAGCTAATTAAAAGGAATGTAATGTTGTCAATTTGAATTATACATTTTATATCAGTCATTAAGACAAAAGTCACCATTGTGGTGAGCTTCAGATGAAACGCATTCGCTCGTCCAAAGTCCAAGTCTGTATTTTTTATTTGTAGGAATTTGTTTTGGTACTGTTGCACTTTGTATTTTACTTCTTCGCTTTCATTTCGAACGAGTTGACAAGCACCTCTTAAAAAATTGTATCGAATTTAATAAAAAAAAGTTGAAGCCATTAAAAATACTATTCGAAATGAATTCTTTTATAGCTAGAAATATAATTCGAGTTCCACAAGTTTTAACTACTGGAAATGGTGAGATTATTAAATTAATATAGTTGGACATTGATCATTCAGTGCAGCTTGTAAAAGTATATTTAGAATATGTCAATATGGCAGTTTTTTGCAATCATTGTATCGATTCTATTATTATAACCCAATTTAATATATTTTTTAAAACTATAAACCTATTTTTTAGTTTCATCTAGGAGTTATGCCAAAAAACAGACATTGGGTTCTCAAAGGCTTGGGAATCAAAATATTGTTCTGGTTGATGGCGTTAGAACACCTTTTTTGTTATCTGGAACAGAATATAGTAAACTGATGCCTCATGATCTGGCGAGACATGCTTTAATGTTCGTATATTTTTATTTTTTTCTAAATAAAATTATTGTTCAATAAATAGTATATTTATTTTTAGGGGTTTGATGAAGAAGACTGGTCTGTCAAAAGAACTGGTGGATTATATTATTTATGGAACTGTTATTCAAGAAGTTAAAACTTCTAATATAGCTCGTGAAGCAGCAATAAGTGCAGGGTTCAGCTTAAGAACACCAGCACATACTGTTACAATGGCTTGTATTAGCTCAAATGTCGTGAGTATATTTAGAAAAATTTAAATATTATTGTTAACTGAAGTATATTACATAAATAATTCTAATATATTATTATTATGTTTGCCAACATTTTTTGTTATATTAATAGTATCATAAAGAATTTTACGTTTTGATTTTTTTTATTGATATTTATATATATATATATATACATATATATACATATATATATACATATATATATATATATATATATATATATATATATATATATATGTATGTATATTTATATTCCTAGGCTATTACAACTGGCATTGGCCTGATCAATAGTGGTGTTTATGATGTCATTGTTGCGGGTGGTGTAGAATTTATGTCTGATGTTCCAATTAGGTTAAGTAGAAAATTACGTTCAGTTCTTCTTAGGGCCAATAAAGCAAAAACTCCAGCACAAAAACTCCAGTTGGCATCCACAATTAGACCTAATTTCTTCATTCCTGAGGTATTTAGTTTTGAAATTATAGTTTTTGTAAAATATTTTTTAAATTTTTTTCTTTGCTATCTTAGGAATAATTTTATACTATATAACTTTTGAAACTACTTATCTACTTAAAGCTATTTATCAAAAATTTCATTTCATTCATTTCATCCTTTTTGTTAAGATTTTTACATTCTACCAAATATAAATAATTTTTAAAATAATGACTTTGTAATATAATTGGTAACTATTCATTGTATTATTTTAGTTACCTTCTGTATCAGAATTCAGTACTGGCGAAACTATGGGTCACTCTGCTGATAGATTGGCTGCTGCTTTCAAAGCATCTCGAGAAGAACAAGATGCATATGCTTTGAAATCTCATACATATGCTAAAAATGCACAGGAGAAAGGATATTTCACAGACATTGTTCCATTTCAAGGTTTTTTTTTGGAATTCATAATCAACTTACTTACATTATTTAAATCATTTTAGTACAAATTAATTTGAATCATTGTATGAAAGCAATAATATGTAGATGCAAACCAATTGTTAAACATTACATCTAAATAAATATAAATGTGGAAACAGTTCCAGGTGTGTCAAAGATGGTAGAAACTGACAATGGTATTCGTGTCACATCATTAGAAAGTCTGGCCAAATTGAAACCTGCCTTTGTGAAACCCCATGGCACAATTACAGCTGCTAATGCATCATTCTTGGTAAATTGTAACATTTTAATTTTGTTCAAAAATCATATAAGTTATAAATATTAAACTTTAATTACCCTTTAGACTGATGGTGCTTCAGCTTGCCTCATTATGACTGAAGCCAAAGCCAAGGAATTAGGTTTGACACCAAAAGCTTATCTAAGAGAATTTTTGTATGTTGCCCAAGACCCAGTCGACCAGTTGCTGCTTGGTCCTGCTTATGTAACACCAAAGATCTTAGAACGTAGTGGTCTGAGTTTAAAAGACATAGATGTCTGGGAAATGCATGAAGCTTTTGCTGTAATGTTTTTTTTTTTTTTGAAAATTTTTAATATAGATTTTTTGACTACATTAATTTTTTTTTAGGGTCAAGTTTTAGCAAATCTTAAGGCCATGGATTCTGATTGGTTTGCACAGAATTATATGGGAAGAAAGGAAAAAGTGGGAAACCCTGATATGAATAAGTTTAATCAATGGGGTGGATCTCTTGCAATTGGGCATCCTTTTGCAGCAACAGGTGTACGTTTAGCTATGCATACTGCAAATAGGTAAGTTCAATCATTGAGAAATAGCCCATAATAAAGACGTATATTTCAAGATATTGTATTAATATTTATTTTGATTATATGAACATATCATGTATATTGTTTCTATGACTTTAGGATGGTACGTGAAGATGGTCAATTTGGTTTAATATCTGCATGTGCTGCAGGTGGACATGCAGTTGGAATGATTCTTGAACGTCATCCTGATGCTAAAGCAAACTAAATTATATGTTCATTGTTTTTTTGTATTAAAGATCTTTAGTTATCAAATTAATTAAAAGTCATTGTTAATTATTAAGCAGATGATTTTAAGCTAATATTATCCAAAATGTAACAAATTTTTAAATTTTGATATTTTATAAGAGAAATGTAAATAGCTATATCTTCATATTTTATACCTATGTAGAAGATAAGATTATTAATAAATAAATAATTTATACAATTAGTGCTAAGAGGATAAATTTTGCAAAAAGGCTGAATTTTTCTTTAGTTAATTGATAAACAGTTTCCTAGCAGAAAACCATTTTTCGGAGTGAAATTCATTTTTAAATTAAATAAAAAAAATGTTGCATTGTTTGTTTTATACATTATTTGTATAAAATAAATTAAACTAAATATTTAATTAGTTAAATATTTACTCTAATAGCTAGATAAATATTTACTCTAATAAAACTCAAACTATGTTGTTCGAGCAAGTTTTTTGGAATTTTCTTGTTTCTAAATTTTTATTGTTTAAGTACATATATATATTTCGTATAAATTATTCAGATGGAAGTGTGTCGTATGAGAGATAATTTAAAATCTATAATATATTAATTATTTTTCCGGCCATTAGTTAACAATTTGACTTAATTCGAAATTGAAAACAGGTTGAGAACCGTATAGTCATAATTTTGAGTCTGGTAACACTATAGTAACGGTGTTGGTCGTATTGGCCACACTAGACAATTTAATAATGTTGGTCACTACTTCTTGTGTTGTTATAATAATTTCTGACACTTCTGTTTAATGTCATATATAATTAGAATGATTTTTCAATCTTTGTATAATTGCTTATAAACTTATTTGTGCTGTCCAATTGTTTGTCGTGATATAGTTAAATAACATAAGGCTGCTTAATATTAGTATCACATGTGACTTAACCTATAAAAATGGTAATTATTTTTTTAACTTGTATGATTAACAATAATATAACTTATATCAAATCATAATTATTATTTTCAGCCTAAACGAAAGCCATTTATAGACAAAAAAAATTCTGTGACTTTCAACTTGGTTCATAGGAGTCAACATGATCCTTTAATTGCTGATGAAACTGCTCCACAGCATGTATTGATCGAAGCTCCACAGAAAAATAAGAAGGTTTGTAGGTTTAGGATTTATGAAACCTTAAATTATCCAGAAAAATAGATTTCAAGCGATCATTTATCCATTACAGCCCGATAAGAAGCGTGAAGAACTACATAAATATGGAATATTTTATGATGATGATTATGATTACATGCAGCATCTTAAAGAACCAGGAAAAAATGTTATGTCATGGGAATTATCTACTAATGTGACCAACAAGGAGAAAAATAAGGAAAGCCGAAATAATATAAAATTACCAAGTTCAGTTTTTGCTTCTGAGTTCGAGGAAAATGAGGGGTAAGATATTCATTAATTATTTATAATTAGTGTTCTTCAAAAATATTTTATTTTTAGACTTTTAAATAAAGCAGCACCACACTCAGGACCTAGGCCAGACTTAGACCCAGATATTGTTGCAGGGTTAGATGATGATTTTGATTATTCAGATCCTGAGAATATACTTGATGATGATTTTGTGTTGCAAGCAATGGCAGAAGGTATATTTTCATTAATTCATTACTAAATGATTTGACAAAATTATGATATATTAAGCTATTTATGTCTTAGTAATTAAAATAACAAGCATCATAATTATGATTCTAACTTTTGATGGTTAACTCACAAATATAACTTTGATATTCATATGCAAAATATTTATTTTAACTTTTAATTAAGCATTAAATAAATTTTCTATCAATTGAGATATACAAATTTTTATAGGAGATACAGAATCTGAAGGTTCTGAATGTGAATCATATGATTCTGAATATGAAGATGAATTGGAAGATGAGGTAGGATCTCTTAACAGTGGTAAATTTTCATTTCGAGATGAAGAAACAAAGTCACGTTTCACGGAATATTCAATGAGTAGTAGTGTTATGAGAAGAAATGAGCAATTATCTCTTCTTGATTCCAGATTTGAAAAGGTACAACTAATGAATATAAAATAATTTATAATAAACATTCAGAAGTTTCTTTTCTAGATGTATGAAGATTATAATGATACTGAAATTGGTGCACTGGAGTGTGAAGAAATTGAAGGGGAAGTTTTGTGCAATGCCGATGTTTTGCTTCAGTATGCCAAAGAATTTGAACAGAGTCAAATTAAAACAAAAATGGATAAAGATGAGGAAATCAAAAGGTACTATTAACTGCTTAATATCTATAATGAGTGCGATCACTAGGTGTCTTGTGATGTTATTTATAAACATCTTTTATAGAGCTTTGAAATATGAGCAAGAGTCATCATCTGATTCTGAAGATTTGGAAGTAATGAGTGTTGAAGATAATTCTAATAAATGGGATTGTGAAAGTATATTGTCTACATATTCTACTTTATACAATCATCCTCGTCTTATAGAGGAACCACAAGTATGTACTAAAATACTGATCAATCATACTTAATCTCATATTGCCATATCTTTGTTATTATCTTTGATAGCTATTTTACAAAGTTTTCTAGCATCTGTCATATTAAAAATGATTTTTTTTTAGGGACCTAGAAAGATCAAAATTAATGCACGAACCGGAATGCCCATTAGTGCAAGTCATAATGAAAATAAGTTAACAATAAAATCACTTGCAAAATTTAATAATCTCAATTCAGGAATGGATAAATCAGATGATGCACAATCTGTATGTGCAGAATCAGTTATGTCAACATTAAGTGTTCTCTCTATTCGGCCCAAAAATGAGACATCTGTAGAACGTAATCAAAGAAAGAAGTTGTTGAAAGAATACCGCCATGAGAGAAGAATTGAGCGTAAAGCAAATACTGCGGCATTCAAAAATGAAAAGAAAAGACAAGAAAAGATCAGAATGAATAATAAAAATAATATACAAGGAAAAAAATTATCATGATTATAATTTGATGAATTGTTTATTATAATTTTTTACAATGTATTAAATTACATTGCATGTTGTATAGTTTAATTTTGTTAATAAAATGGTTTACACATTATTAAGTTTTCATACTATTTGAGTAGATTTAAGCAAATAAGTTCTTGGTGCAGTTGATAAAAGTTGATGAAGAATTAATTTTTACTTGCCCTTTGATAATTGGAAAAATACTATCAAATAGGGGGCAACAGTTCCCGTGTTTATCATCAAAATAAAGCCTAATGTCACTTTTCCAGTTTTCCTGGTATCAAATGGCAGGGGTTCTCTATTGCGTACAATGTTCGACATGCTTCTAGCTTGATTTGTAACCACTCTTGATCCAATTCTGGAAGCTGCCTTGCTCAGTAGTCCAAACATTTTTCTGCAAATAAAATTTATTCAGTAAAATATAATTTAAGTTTATAATAAAAGTTAAGAATTACTGTACCTGATTCAGTAGAAATTTTTCAACTAATCATAGAATTATTTCTGATTTGCTTTTGTTATAGGCATAACATAATACAAAACAAATGAAACACAGTTAAGGCTAATAAAACTAATAGCAAGCTGTGCAAAAATTATTATTTCTTGACATAAATTGATATAAATATAATAATTAAATTCGACTGTGAATCTACTTTGATCTTATTTCAAAATTCGAGCTATTTTTTACAATTGCATGCATCTGTATGTAATATATATTACAAAATATCAGTTACATTCAATCATAAAAATGTTTAGCAAAAAACTCTTTTGCATACAAAGTATTCCTAGAAATGTCAATTATAAAAAAAACTCTTATATATGATTATTATTAATCTTGCAATTTCAATTATTTTTAAATATTAAACAAAAATGAATGTTTTTTTGTAAAACAGCAATTGCAGTTTGACAAACACTGGAAAATATTTTTGAATCGATTTTGCGACGACAGCGCCGTGTGGCAGTTAATCTAGTCTTGTCATTCACATCATATGACTTTTGTCGATTTCTTGCTAGATTCTCATTGAAGTCCATCATTAGTTTTCCAAATCCTTTGACATTAGATAAACGTAGTACTATTTAAGCACAAAAAGGTATAATATAATAAAATGGCTAGCCAGACTCAGGGAATTCAACAACTTCTTGCCGCTGAGAAAAGGGCTGCTGAAAAAGTCTCCGAGGCCAGGAAACGTAAGATAGAATTTTTGTTTTGAGAATATTTTATGATTGTGAGAAGGTTTTAAATCTTTGTATCAGAATATCTTTATGTAATATCGCTTAGTGAGCTACAAAACATTATTTCATAGTGTTGTATTTGTAACATTATTTTATAGAAGTTAGGTGTGTAATCATGTGACATATCTTGTGATGATTTTCTTTGCATAGACAGTTTCAATATTATATTTTGTAACGTTATCAATTAATTGTATTGAAATAGGTCCAGCTTCAAATTGAAATTACAAAGTTTCCTAGACTATTCTTTACTTAGAGTTTACTTTACTAGTTATAATACTATTTGCAAAATATTATTGTTATATTGACATATAAATCACTATTTCCCTTTTTATACTACACTGTTTCAAATTAAATTATGTAATATTATTTTCATTCTATAGGCAAAGCACGCAGACTAAAGCAAGCTAAGGAAGAAGCTCAAGATGAAATTGAGAAATACCGTCAGGAACGTGAGAAGCAATTCAAAGAATTTGAAGCAAAGGTAAAAATTAAAATTACTGTATTTTCGAAAGAGAGAATTTAAAATAATACAGTAGAACCTTGATTAACCGGACTAAATGTTGTCGATAGGCATGAGCCTCGATTAACCGGACTAATTGTTGTCGATAGGCATTCAGATAATTGAAAATCTGGATGATCGATTGTATGAAGAATAATGTTGTGTATTTATTAAAAATAACAAGAACATACATAGATATCAACAAAAATAATTTTTATTAGGAATTTGAAACTTTCTCATGTCTGTACATATATATTTTTTTAGATTATATTACATACATATACTAAACCGCAGCATTAATCACGCAAAAACCCGAATTGTAGGTATGTATATACATATCAATTGGTCGCTATTGGTAGTCCGGATTATCACAAATTCGTATAACTTAGGTCCGGACAAACGAGTTTCTATCAAGATTAAAATTCATTAAATTATAAAATTATTCTTCAAAGCTTTGAATGAATGTTAGTTTGTTTATGATTGTTATTGTGTATTTGATATTAATCATATATTTATTATTTTATTTTATCATTGTCATATTGTTTTCATTTGAAAATTTGAAATTTAATCTCTATTAAATCTTGCATAATTTAAAAATATTTTAAATCAATATGTTATTCAAAATACTTATACTTACTTAATGAACTTATACTTAGTTGATAAACTAATTTTACATATTTTCATATGTTTAACGACTATTATAACTACATATTAATCTCATTCAAAACTAAATTTTGTTAATGATTTTATTTTATTTTAGCATATGGGCTCACGGGAAGGGGTTGCAGCTAGAATTGATGCTGACACTCGTGTCAAAATCGATCAGATGAACAAAGCTGTGTCTGTTCAAAAGGATCCCGTAAGTTTAAATACAATTGTCAAAAATATACATATATTACACCAGATTTATATATATATTCAATTTTCTCAGGTGATGTATGAAATTCTGAAGTTGGTCTATGACATCAAACCAGAATTACACAAAAATTATCGCAAAGAATAATTTATTTTATTCAGAGCTCCAGTGAAAAAATAATATATTTAATAAAGATATGTTTATATACCAACATTTTTTGCTTATGTGAAAAAATCTTAATAGATCAATCTGAATTTTAGAAATCTAGAATTTTAAATATAAATGTTCTGTATATATTGTTAATTGGTGATTAAAAATTATGAAAATGCAGTATTTGAAACTTAGAAAGTTCATTCCATTAAAAAAATGTACAAAACTTCATTATTGTAGGACATGTTATCTGATTATTATTTGTGTTAATATAGTATTACATCCAAAATAAAAGAATGCTAATCTGTTAGAATATGTATTTCATTCTAAATTCCTTGTTTATAAACTAACAATTCATTCGAAGTATATTTCTATTATTTATTTTCTATTATGTAATCTTTGCTTATGCTAAAAATTATTGGTTTATACTTGATATCACATTGTATGTAGTATATAAATAAGACAATATTTCAAATCAGAATGTTTATGCTATAAAATGTGATTTCTTAGTTCTTATAATAACCTTTTATTGAAAAATTGGTATAATGAAAAAAAACATGTAATAATTACATATTCTTCACATTCATCATTCTTCGGTATAATAAAATAATTAGTTTCAAATGCACTTTTACTTAATATGCTATATTATTGATTTCTTCAACTAAAAAATAAAATTGTGGATAAAATGAAAGCATATATTTTTACATACATAAAACAAAAGCCTACAGATGGTTTAATTAAATTTTATTTGATAGGTGTCAATTGAAATAATAAAAAATATGATCGCACGCACTATTCACTATGTACAGATGATGAATATTACAAAAATGTACGATTATGTATATTATGATCCATGTTTTTGTGATAAATATGACGATCATAAACTGCCATGAAAAAAATAAAGAACGAAAAATTGTTTATAGGAAATAGAATTGAATTTGAATTATCGCGCGTATCTAGTTTTCGAAACTTCGACGTCTCGAACATTTGCCGTACGCGAAATTTTAGATCGTGCGCCATCTATCCAGAGTGAGTTCATTTCAGTTTAATGTCTAACCACCGTACACGATCGTGTTACGGCTCTGTAAGGTGTGACTTTTAAAATCAAAAATTTTCATAAAGTTCAATTGGTCAGCTTGTGATTTGTGTCAATTTCTATAGCAAAAGGACTAGTGAATATTTTTGTGTGTTTTATGAGTGAATGGATCCCGCAGTGTCGTGGTTTCAACGCGAACAAGACTGTCCCGCTAAACTCATCTGGCTAGGCATTTGGGAATCGCAACGAACATATATGGAAGATACACAACTAACCGCATTGCCTATGTTGGACTCACCGTGTAAGGAATTTATTCCGATAGGAGATTTGGATAATAACGGTGAGAGAGCTTATTATAATCCATCGAGGAGGAAAATGGTCGAAAATCGCGCCAGCACTTACAATATGAATAAACATCATTCCCGGTTGATTGGAAAATATGGCGGCTGTCCCTGGCGGGTGGAGGGCCATCATTACGGCAGAGGCGTATTCGGGTGAGTTAGAAAAATATTGTGCAACACCATACACATACGCCTTAATTCGAGATGTAACTCGAGTCACTGTCAGCAACATTATTTTAATATATAATTATATGGTTGATTGAAAATATTGTTCTCTAATAATTCGAAACTATTACTCCGTTTGATCTTGACAGAAAAGCATTTTACGGAATGTTTCAACATATTAAAGCAATAACCGCGCAAATCGCAAAGCTTTTTTTCATAAATCATGCTAGATGATTATTTGAGGTTATGTAGCATGTGTTTTTTGACTTCTACGTTTTGACAAGCCCTCTTTAAGTTTCGCGCCTATCTAGAATTTATAAGTCCATAATCATCTTAATATTGATTTTGTAATAAGTTACGTATAATTAGTAAACGTTTAATTTTTTGTTAATTTTTTTCTTTGCATAAATAAATTTTTATAGTTTTGGTTCACCTACATGCCGTTCGAATTTTTTGAATTACAAAGATAACTTATTGTCATCTTAGATTACTAAGATGAGTATCTTTAGGATATATAATTATCTAATGTAAATCTAAATTTTAATTTTCTTCTTGATCACATTTTGCTCTTCGTGTAAGTTCGTATTGTTCCGTACTCGGATTCATATTATTTGCATTTAATGTGAATTATTTAGTTCTACTTACGATTTTTGTCAAACAATGAAATTTTAGCATTTTTTCATAAAGTATGACAAAATGTTCACGTAATAATTTAAATACGGCCTAACCGTTTGTAAAATAATTACGCAGAAAAAAATCATCTGTCACATGATATCTTTGTTTAAAGCAATTAAAAAATATATTATTTATTTATTTACATATATACATTATTTTCATATCTCAGTCAGACAGAGGTGCCTGGTATGAGAGATTATGAAAAACAGTTTTCATATAATATTTACATTTTATTTGACTATAATATCTATTTCATTAATATAATATCTATATATAACTCTTCAGTCTTCTTTTTCTTCAATTTCCATATAGTACTTCTTTATTTTTCTTTTAAAATTATCATTATCATTGGTCATCTTAATATAGTCTGGCAATTCGTTATATATTTTGGTAGCACTCCATATGACATTTTCTCTCAAATTCTTTTTTCTATTGCGTTCAATGTGAAAATTGTTGTGTTGTCTCGTGTAGTGTTCATGTATATCTTGATTTGTGTCTATTGTTGCACTTGTTTTAATTCGGTTAAATTTCATTTTGTGTATTAGTTTGCATTCTCTATTTTAATTATGTTATTTAGTGAATGATTATTTGTTTCTCTCTCTGCAAGTATTTGGTGGGTGTTAGATGTGGTAAATTATATGCTATTTTTATGGCTTTATTCATTATTCTCTGTATGTCATTTAGGTTTGCTTTAGTTGTTTGGCTCCATGTTGTTATGCCATATAAAATTATAGGTATTATTTGCGTTTTAAGAATTAGTATTTTATTTTTTTTGCCGAAAGAGTGGATCCTTTTCAATGCCCCTGTTAATGTTCCTATCTTTCTTTTTATTTTGTTTATATGGTCTGTCCATGTCAGTTTTTCATTTATTATCAGTCCTAAGTATTTTATGCTTTCCACTTCCTCTATTGCTCTATTATTTACTTCAATTTTTAGTTTAGTGTTCTCAGTATTTTTTCTATGTTTGAAATATATGTATTTTGTTTATCTATGTTAATTGTTAGTTTATTTTCAGTAAGCCACTCGGTGTATATTTTCATGTCCGTGTTTATAATATCTTCGAGTCTTTTTTTATCCTTATCCGCATATACTATCGCTGTATCGTCTGCATATAATATGTATCTTCCCTTTAATTTTGCGTCTTTAAGGTTATTGGTGTATAATAGATACAATAAAGGTCCTAATACAGAACCTTGTGGAACTCCACAGGTTATGTTACATCCTCCACTTGTGAAATTTCCCACCTTCGTCCTTACCACTCTTTTCATGAGGAAATCTTTGATAATGCTGTAAGACAAACCCTCTACACCCAAATCTATTAGTTTATTGAGTAATATGCCATGATCTACTGTATCAAAAGCTTTTTGTAAATCAATAAACATTGCAACTGTGTGCATATTTTCCTCAAGGTGCTGACTGATGGTATTAGTCAAATCTATTAGGGCACCTTGTGTATTTGATGAAGGGAGGAAACCATATTGATTTTTGTCAATTTTTTGAATGAGAAATCAAGTAATCTTTTTTTTATTACTTTTTCATATATCTTGGAGAATGTGTTTGTTATTGTTATAGGTCTGTAGTTATTTGGATCTGTTTTGTTTCCTGTTTTGAAAATTGGTTTTATTGTAGCCATTTTAAGACACGATGGAAATACACCACATTCTATGTATCTATTCATTAAACAGCAAGTAGTGGAGCTATTATATTTATTATTTTTTTAGTGATTCTTGCTGTTATCTTGTCTTCGCCAGGTGCAGCGTTATTTTTCAGATTTTCAACAATTTTTCTATTTCTTTCTCATCTGTTAATTCAAAAATTTGGATTTTGTTTTTAGGTCTGTGTATTGATGGTTTATAGTTGCAATGATCCATTTTCTTTTGTAGTTTCATACCTATTTCAGCAAAATGTTTGTTGAGATACTCCGCAATGTCTTCCTTTTCTGTAAGAAATAATATTTTTATCTTTATGCTGTATTTTTTCAATATTTTCTTTATATTCGTTTTTATTTTTCCTCCTCCTAATGTTTTATTTATTAGTTCCCATATTTTTCGAGAGTCACTTTCACATTTTTTTGTTCTTCTTCTGAATAGTATTGTCTTTTTGCTTTGTAGATCATATTTTTTATATCTTTTTTATATTATTATATTTCATTTTTATAGCATTATGTTTGCTTACTTCATTTATATTGCATTTCTTTAAATTATTGTAGAATTTGTTTCTGTATTTCATTAAGTTAATAATTTCTTCTGTTATCCAGGTATCTTCTCTGGCTCTTATTGTTTCTTTGATTTATTTTCTTTTGCTGCATCTTGTATAATTTTTATTAAATCCTCTAATTGGTCCACTATTTTAGAGTCTAACTTACAAGTTATTGTCTTTTCTAATCCTTCTAAATCTATGCTATATCTAATTATTTTATGCATTTTTGGTTTGATTCTCGGCGTATTTTGTATAAATACTGTTATCATTTTGTGATCAGATATTTCTGTATCTTCTATTTCTATATTAATCTTCTTTTTATAAAAGTACATTTAACTATCAAGCTCTAGTAGTCATTGATTTAATAGTAGTTCATTTACTAAAGCCTATTTATTTTTTTAGTTATCATTAACACGGTGTTGTAACTAAGAGAAAATTTTTGTTTTGTTTATTTAGATTATGCAATTAACTTGCCACAATATATCTTACATAATTGAAAACACGTAGTTATTTTAAAAAAATAAGGTATTAACTTAATTTATGTTTCCGAAGTTATAATATCATGTTCAAAATTTATATTTATTGATATTGTTTTTGTTATTTATTCAAGGACATCTGAATGTCACGGTAACTTGCATATAAAATTCTAATGAGCCAGCTTAATGATATTTCAATATATTTCCTTTAAATTCTGATTTTAGTCCACTAGATTTATAACATTCTTATTTTTTATAAAATTCCGACCTTCGCACTTACAGCATTTAATTAAAAAATAAAATTTGTCTAAATTCAATTTATGTGAATTATAATTGAGCGTATTCGAATAGTCCAATAGTCAAATATCATTTAAAAAAATTAAAAACCAACAAGAAGAAATGTTTAGTAACATGAATTTATAATACTGTCCTATGAATATTATTTCCTTTTAACTTCAACTTGATGTCACTTTATATTATTATATTGTTTTAAAATTTTAATCTAAAGAAAACAAAGTTTATAGAATATTGATTTGTGAATCAGATATATGATTATGTACAAATCCTAGTCGGCTTTACCATAAACAATTCTTATCAGATTTGTGTAATTTGTATGAAACACATATAATATTTATATTTAAATGTTTAAACAAATTAGCTGATGCATACTAAACAATTATTAAAAGAAAACGTTTAAATGGTTCTTTACTGATATTAATAGTTTTGCTGAAGGTAAAGCCTATTATAAACCAAAACATTTTTTTGTTCTGAAGGTCCTGATACCTGAACAGGTTCATGGTGTTTCTATAATTTTATTTACTAAATATACTTGTTATCTTGATTTTTACAAAACTTTCATGTTTAAAACAAATAGTTGAGGTTTTTGTTAATTGTTAGAATTAGTTATTTAGTTATTGCTTTCTCGGAAATATTGTGATATTGATCAATAAGCTAATGTTTATCAGTTTGTTAATGTCAGTTTTATTTAGATAATGGATTAAAATTTGATAATGCATATAATATTAAATTTCTTTACCAAATCAATCTGTAATGTATGTGAGAAGTTTCAAAAATTACTTGTAACCTGTCTCGTGTGATGATTGTAATAATTGGATTCAATTGCGCTTCAATATTTGATTAATTATATTACAATTATTGTAGCTAAATTCACAAATTAGTTTTATAAGAATTTTATTTTAGTTCAAAATCGTATACATTATTAAGGCATCATAAATTATAAACCATGGATATCTATCCAAATTGATATTAATCCATTTTGTTGAATTATACATATAAACGTTCTGTATAAATTGCACATGTAACATTCTAATATCTTAAAAAAAACTAGTGGGGTGCATGGTATCGTGCCTTAAGGCAAATTGCTGGAACTTCCCGTACTAAAAATAATTATTTTTTTTAAAAACGATTAACATTTTGAAAAACTTCGAAAAAATTAGATGTTTGAGAAACTATAAATTTGAAAAAATTAACTTTTTTTTTTTTAAAAAATTTTTTTTTTGAAAAATATGTTTTCTTTATTTTGACATATTTTGAAAATTATGAACTTTTTTTCAAAGCAATCGTACTGCTTTAACTGCATAGGGACGAACCCATAGGAATGTAAACAAAATTTATACTTATTGTTAAAATCTCTATAAAATATCTGATAACTTGGTATGCATATGTCTAATGATCATTTTTGACCACCAAATGGCATTTTTTTCAATTTTTTCATTAGATCTCCGAAATCGCTAGACCTTCATAATTTGACCAATTCTACATCTTGTCAATACAAGTAAAATGATTTTTGAATTATTAAAATCGGACGGTCCGTTCTCTTAAAAACTGAGTTACCATTTTTGGCACTTTTTGCCCCGTATCTTCAGAACGGCTAGACCTGCCTTCGCCAAAAACTAATCAACACGTATCCTTATCAATACGAATCGAATGTTTTTTGAATTATTCGAATCGGTTGATCGGTGTTCCTGAAATCGTCGACGAAAATTTGTATCCGCACGCACACACGCGCACACACACACACATACATCCATTTTCTCTAAGGTATGCAAAATGTTCAGAAACCTTTAAAATTTTCATTTTCGATTTTTTTTGCGATTACTATAACTTACCCTACGGGAAGTTAAAAAACTAAATTTAAGTCTTGATAAAAAATATCAACAAAAAAATCCAATTCAATTCATAAGTAATGTAAAGTATTTTAACGTTGAGTATTGTCTCATATATGTTCTGCTTTATATTTTAAGAAAACGTTCACATTTTGGATATTATTTTACACAATTCATGTAAAATAACCAGATTTTTTTTTGGGGACGCTAAAAAGGTACAGATATCATTTCTAATGATTCCACAATCTCTTCAATGCGTTTATAAATAAATTTTATATTCATAATGCATATAAAGTTTATTCTAAATTATGAACCAGCGGTAATTTCCAGTACACGTGCGTATATGCACGATACTCTAATTTAAGTTCTTTATGTCTTTAATTGTTTGTTTACAGTAGGTTTCTTGTAATGAATAATCAACCTACGCACGTAAGTTATGTACTTCTAGCATAAACTAAAACTTGCCCTTGAGTTCATTTTTCAATCAAGGCTTAAAATAATCCGTAATTGGTTTTCCTTTGTTTTATTAACTTCCGGAAAATATTGTTTTCGCCAGAAAATCAGATTTGCTGAATCATTCAGCATCAACATTGGAATGTTGTGGATATGTGTGTTAGATCACATTTGGCTTTTCGTCGACGTTATTTCAAAAACAGCTACTCTGTTTTGAAAAATTTAAAAGCTATTTTATGAAGGATATAAAAGGGTTTGCGAGGATTAGTTTGTTGCGACGAACAGGTGAACCGTTTTTCGCAAATAATTTTCGAACTTAAATTGTCGATTGATTGACGAAATTTTTTATTTGACGATTTTGGTAGAACTTTTTATGATGAGTGTTCATGATATTGTACTAAAAGAAAATACTGCAAAGCTTTTACAATAAGTGTTTTAATTATAAATTATTAAATTTTGAAATAATTGGTTGTGACAAAGTTTCTAAATTCTATCGTCAGAAGTTTAAAAGTTGCTAAATCTTAATTTGATTTCCTTGTGTCGATTATTTACCATATGGGTAGTTTGCGCAACCTATAACGAAATACCACTTACACCTAGAAATAATACGATTTGCTTAATATTTTGTTTTCTTGATATTTCAAGTCATTCTGAATCAAATAACACCAAATTTGGACCAGATTTTTCAATTTTTGTTTTTCTCAAAAACGCCTGGAACGATTTCAAAATTTTAAAAGCCAATTCGATTTAGCTTCGAGCCGCTTCTTAGTAATTAGCAGAAAAGGGTTCAAAAATTGTTGAAAAGATATTGGTTGGAAATCGAGTTGACTCGTTTTTCGTTTTTAAGGCCTTTTTTCGGAATTAAATGTTGAATCTTTTTACGATTTTGATGCAACTTTGTATAACGATAGATTCCGACGTCTGAAACAACATACTAAAATATCATAAGTCTACGGTAAGCGGTTGAAATATAAAAATTCATAATAGTTTAGCATTTTGCCTAATCAGAATTTATGCCGATCATCTGTATACGTTCCGTGTTTGGTAGGTAGCTACTGATTACAGTTGACACTTTAATAGAATATATTTTTAGTAAACGAAATAGTTTAAATGAAATTGGATGAACAAATTCATTTAATTTATACAAGTATATATATATATATATATATATATATATATATTATTACATTTGCAAGACTTCATTTGCGTTGATTAATTTTTAATGAAAACGTATTTTCGCAATATACAGTTGAACATTTTACCTAAATAGTTGAATCTCAATCATAGATCTTTCAACACTTTCCACTCGCGAATTCCGAGACTTATATGAATTTTAATCGGCGGCATTCGAGTCGAAAGGGTTAATACATGTATAAGGTCTATGATGTCAATTCTTATTGATTAAGATAATTATGCATAGGTATCGGTAAGTTCATGGAACTTGCCTTAAGGCAAAATACTAAGTACAATTATTTATTCAACAAAATTTTTCTCACGTGGTTTCACATAGTGTGGTTTTGTGCGTATTTTATATTTCTATTATACAGTTTTATATCTCATCATTTACTGCGTAATACTTTATTGCAAAACTAAACGCCCTTTAATCCCGTAAATTGTAACTCCGTAATACTATAATGTAGAAAGCATTAGTGTGCGAGTATATATTGTATTAAGTATATAATTCATTAAATCTTTTATCAAGTGTTCTATTAATGGGTGTTAGTGGACATACTAATTTTCAATTATCAATGAAATATGACTTCATTGCGATGACATACATATAGCTTAACGCAACGTGAGTTCAACGTTGTTATTCTTATTTTTACACTTTTTTTTACTATAATTTCTTGTACTTCATAGTTTTTTTTTATTCTATGTTTTATTTTTTGTTGATAAATGCATTTAAAATTTTAATTACTTGAAGATCATGACATTGAAGAAGAGTCAATTGATGATCGAAACATTAATTTTTTGCTGGGGCCCGGACCATTGATCATGTGATCGATTTTTAAGGATTTTTGGATCCCCTTTGCTTCTGGTGATACGTGGTGATTTTTAAAATCACCTCCCCCCACCGACTCACCTGTAGAAAAATAGAAAAAATGGTAAAATTTTGTCCTTTTTTTATTTTGGTTTAGTTAAATAAACACGTGACATCTTACTAGGTCCTCCCCCCACGTTTTCCCAATTTCGTGATAATTTGTCAAACTCCCCTCCCTTCCCCGTTCAGTCATCACGTGATTAATGGACGCCCCCTTGTTCTCCAATAATTTCATTAAATTTTATACCAAAATGTTTTCATGTGATATATATTACTTCTTTTCTTTCCTATATAAATATTTATTATTACTATATTATAAATAATATTATATATTGCTCTTTTTCTTTATAATGTCTATATGTATTGTTATTTAAATTCTATATGATTATTTATTTGATAAAAATCTGTACCTTCATTTATTACATATTTTTGAATTTAATTTTTTTAAACAAATTCGAAAATTCCAGTGTGTTCGTCTGATTATTCCATAATATCATATATTATTCACATTAGTTTAAGTAATTTTATAGTTATAGTAACGGACCGAAAATCGAAAATGAAAATTTTTACATATCTTCACGTTTTGTAGGTTTCTGAACATTTTGCATACCTCAAAAAATTTAAGTCCGCATTTTTTTCGTCCACGTTTCGGGCGCACGGATCAACCGATTGAATGGTTGAAAAAACATTTGATTCATATTAATAGGGAAATCTGCTGACTAGTTTTTGGCAAAGGCAAGTCCAGCCATTTCGAAGATACAATGCTAAATGTGCAAAAATGGCAGTTTTTGGAGAGAACTTAGCGTTCGATTTGAATGATTCAAAGAACTTACTGCTACAAAATAATTACTTTTGAAAAAAAAAATTTTTTTTGTTTCAATTTTTTTTATTTTATTCACAAAAATTTTTTATATTTTTTCAAAAAAAATTTTTTGTATATCAAAAATAATTCAGATTTTAATTTTAATTTTGACTAAAGATCTAATATACTTTAAACAAAATAATTTCAACTTTGCTATCAGTTTATATAATTCTTATAAATATTAGACAATGTTTACAATATTTATAATACTCTATTTGAAAACATTTAATATTCCTCGAACATTTTGTTGCGGTCCGGAAGTTCCAGCAATTTTGCTATAAGGCACGATGCCATACACACAGTTTTTAGTTT